AGTGGCTATGGATACTGCAGTAAAGCAGTTACCAGTCACCTCCTCTACATGGATTGACATCAAGCTGTATGCCAAAAATGAGTACTACAGTACCAGGAAGYATTCAAGATGAAGGCTGTGCAAAGATTGCCAATGAAACAGTCCATCACATGAAAAAAGATATGTTTCTTCTTGTTGGGTACAGAAAAGAAATCCAGCCTTTTTGCTGACAATACAGTTGCTGGAATTTGAAACAGTTTAAAAAAAATAAAACCACTTGGTTCAGGCAGTAGCCAGATGTTACACACACACATCTGGTTGTAGCTTGCTCTTGTCATCAACCCCAATGGGATTAAAATGAAGTGCAAWGGGCAGAAATTACTTGTAGCATTCAAAAGGATGTCAAAACGTCAAAAAGACAAAACGCTTTCATGAAAAAAATTCAGCACATATTGTCTCAGCTTCACACCCACCAATCAGCGAGGGCAGTGCGAATATATGGTGGCTGCATGGGGACATTCTCAGATTGCTTCCCTCTGTGTGTATGTGTGAGTTGTCAGTGTGTTCGTCCATCCCATTTCCAAACCCAGCCTCAGCAACGAACTGCACACGTGCGTCTGCCAGTTTGCTGATGAAAAGTCTTGCCCGGCTCGACATTTAAAACCTGAGCATGAACCGCAGCACTCTGCAGGCTTTCCACCACTCCATGGGTCAAATTATAACCAGCTATTTGTGGCTTGTGTACTGGATCTCATTAGATCTTATGRCAGGACAAGGGTTTAGAGCTCTCAAGAAATCCAATATTGGAAGTTCATTTATTTTTTGGTTTACAAAATTTTGACATTTAGGAGATTTTCATAGGTTCTAAATTTGTGAATTTATATAGAAGCCACAAAGAAAAGGCTGAATGAATGAAACATCACTGAATGTTTATTGCCGAGCTTTTTGCCCCATGTTTTTATCTGCAGCAAATGTGCTGTGTTATGTATTTGGGTGGCAGTGGAGTGYAATGTAAAGAAAATTAAACGTATGSCGAAAGATTCTGCTCTAATGGATTATGTCTAAATTGGTTCAATGTGTGCTGTGTGGTTTAATCAAAACGACTGAGCCGCTGAGGTTCTAGTGGCCACACTTGCAATTATTTTTGAAAAGTCTTGTTTACATCCATGACAAGTGAACAACATTGCATCTGTCAACAAAGCCACACAGCCCTTCTCTCCCCTTCTCCAAAACACAATAAATCCACCAGAAAGAACATTTATTTTTGGAAAACACTTATTTTAAAAGTCATGTTGCAGTAATGTTAAGCAGTGTGTTTAAAGACACAAGATTTATTTGTTTTTGGTCATTTTAGATTTTTTTTTTTTTACTTATAAATCAGAGTCCAACAACGTCAAGTCCTATCCTGTCACTTCAGTTCTCTTGCCAGTCAGGACACGTTCCTTTCTTTAAATTGTGGCTGTTGCTAATTGGAAACTGTAAAAACTTTGTAAAGAATGCCAACATGAATTCAGATTTCTCCACTTGTTGCCGCTCCACACATTTACAGTTTGAAGACAAAGAGAAATTGTTCCCAGGATTTTCAGCACAAAGACAAACAGTGAAAGAAAACCGATGAAACTTGAGTTGAGGCAGCTTGTGTGTGGGAATCTATAGCACGAGTTCAGTTCAAAACAGAAATTAACACATTTCTTCATGATTGTTATTGCATCAATTAGCGGAAAACTTCATGCAGCAAGCCATCGGCTTCTCTTTTCAGTTAAAAACTCTATGTGACATCATTCATGAGGGCTCAGAAAGTAGATTTTCATCCACTGGCTCCAGGAAACATGCAGCTCTCTAAACAAGTCTCTTTTGTGAAGAGAGGATGCCTGGGAAGTGCCAAGGATGGGTTTATTTGCCAGCCTCATAGCCTGGTATTCAGACGTGGCCAAACAAGGTCTCACAAAGTGCAAAGCCAGGCAAAGATTAGCACCTTTCTCTTTGCAGCTTCAGCTCACACTTCCCCTCTCAGCTGGGCTCTCCAGAAATCTACGTTCCCTGACTGTGGGAATATAAACGCTCGCTGAATACTGGAAAACTGCAGCAAGTTCTTGAGTTGTTCTTTGTCATTCCAGAAAGCTCCAGTGAGTCCTGACCTCCAAGGAGGGATCTCTCACATAAATCCTATCACTCCTGGAGGTGTCACAGTGTTATGTGTGCTCTGCTGGATTAACCCTGCCTGCAGGAGCTCAGGTTCAAACTCCTCTGAGTCAGGCCTGACAGACCAGTCCACCTACCCACAACCCCTCATTCCCATGTTTTAAAGTCAGCTGTGGAGGAAAATAGTCCAAACAGGCAGCAGTGTTTGCACAGCTTTCTAATTGGGGACATTCCATTGACTTCCATTACATTTCTACAGCCTAACCCTGACCATTTACCCTAAGGCTAACCTCACAGGTACCTGACCCTAAAACTAACCTAAACTCAATTCACATTTTGGTCCTAAACCCAACCCCCAACCCACCAATGGCATTTAAACCAAATGGGGACTCGACKTTTGYCCCCAAATGCACCAGTTGTCCCCAAATGTAGGATTTTTGTCTTAAAATTGCCCCCAAATGTTACCAGAAACAACCCCCCCCCAACACACACACACAAGCTGACGTCCAATTTCTTACAAGAAGCCTGTGATGCTACATGTAGAAATGTTCCTTCTGTTGTGCTGCTGTGGTCCCAGCATGTAAGAGGAGACACAAAGTCCAACAAACACCAGAACTGTGTGTTCACAGCAAGAAAAGTAAACATGTTTTTCTCATTTAGATGAGTAAAAACTTCATACACACACCAGGACCTGGCAACAGCCATGTACTGGAATAGCTTCAGTAAAAAAAAATTACCAATGATTACTATTCGCATTTTGTAATTTTCATCAATTTGCTTCACAATGATTTGCTCATGGAAGAGGTTCTTCAACACAAATAGCTGGCTGAAGCTGTCTAAATAGATTTATGGTTTCAGCAAACAATCCCCAGCGCTTTGGAGGCTTCGGAAGACTTGGAAACTTTGGAAGCAACGTAGAGACCAGAGGAAGGCATGTTGGTTTAATACATGACACAAAGTCAGGCACTTCYGTAGAAAAGTGTGAGATACTAAGAGTGAGTGTCAAATCAAACTGAGAGAGCGATGTATCTCTGACTAAAATGGTCAATCAGATGGTGTGTGTTTCCTCTGAGAAAATACACCTGAAGTCCTGCTTCTTAACACATTTTATAGAAAACTCAACTCAGAGAATCACAGGAAAGAAAGAAACTTAAACAGAAAATAAAAATAGATTGATTTATTTGTTAACTACTGTCCGCTGTGATGTCCCTCCTTTGGTTACAGCAGAATGAAAACAAGTTGGCTGTTTGATGTGTTTTTCAGTGAAATACAGTCTTGTCCATTTTTAATGTCTCCTATGAGCCCTAAAGAACTGGATCATTAACCGTTAGCTGGGCTGGGGAGGAATATTGTTTTCTAAAGCAGCTTTAGTGTAGGAGTGGACTTTACTTACATGGGYAAACATGTTTTGAGAGTATTTTAACAGCAAAGACAACATCTGTAAAATTCAGTTGCAATAAAACAGAAACACAGAGCTGTAAAGCTTACACTGCCTTGATTCTGAGGTCAGGCAGGTCAGCATCAGCATCCCAGTCCAGACTGACTGAGAATGAGGCCACCTGTGATTTTTCTGTCTGAGATAAAAAAAAAAACCTCAGCACCACTACAGTTGCGTGACCTTTGCTTATTAAGCTCTTTAAAAGTCCAAAAATACTTGAGAGGGAAGTGTTTTAACTCTGAACTGGAACATTAAAAAGGCAAACTCAGAAGCAGATTAAATAGGCTGGTATGTGTTGAATTTGGACACACACACATGCACACACCTACTATGTCTCTCTATCCTTGTGGGGACTTTCCATTGACTTCCATTCATCTTTTGGAAATTTTATGGCCTAACCCTGACCTTCAAATTAACCTCACAGGTACCTACCTGACCCTAAAACTAACCTAAACTCAATTCACACCTTGGTCCTAAACCCAACCCCACTGCCCAAAATCAGCCTCCGAAGTCATGGGGACCAAGGTTATATAGTTTTGGATTTTTCATTATAGTTTAGTTTTATTTTGTTGTGTTTTTTTCCTTTAATTCAATTGAATTAGTTTTTACAGTGGATTTGCTAGTTTTTTTAGTTATTATTGCATTTTTAATGCTTAGTTTTAGTT